TATACCTTGCCACGTGGCTGGTGGCTTACCGGCGTCTTCACATGCTGCTGGTCATGGCGGTGGCTGCAGTGTCTCTCCGAGTCAGCCTTCCACTTCCCAGAATTCTCCTCTCTCCTTGTCCCACCTACTTCCTGCCTGGCCACTTGCCAACCAGTGTTTTATTTATTGACCAATCAGAGCAATTTGACATACAGACTGTCCCACAGCAGTGGACACCCTCTTCTGGCCTCAAACACCTACACACATTTGCACATTCACACATACAAACTCACTCACATTTTTTGTTTGTTTCTGTTTTGTTTTTCAAGCCATGGTTTCTTTGTGTAGCCCTGGCTATCCCGGGACTAGCCCTATAGACCAGGCTGGCTTCACAAAGATCTGCTTGCTTCTGCCTCCAAGTGCTGGGGTTAAAGGCATGTGCCACCACCCAGTTCACCTTCAAAAAATTCTTAAAAAATGAATGTAAAGCTTACTCTTACCCAGTCTTCAGAATCATGACATAACTTCTCCAGCTTCTTCTCTGTGACCCTTCAAAGCAGGCAACTGGCACCTCTTCAGTGTCCTCTCCACTCACTCACTACCTGAATTCCTGGTGTGGAATGATCTTCCTGGATAGGTGTGTGCTTTCCCTCGTTTTCATATGTGTGTGTACATGTTTGCGTGAATGGACTCACGTATGTGCAGGTGCAATGTGCATATGCAAGAGGAGGCCAAAGTTGATGTTGGGAACCATTCATAATAGCTCTTCGCTTTTATTCATTGAGACAGGTCTCTCAATCAAACCAGAGCTCACTAGCTTGCTTTGGGGATTCTGTCTCTACCTTCCAAGGCTGGAATTACAGAGGGCCACACACCAGCCAGTTGGCATTTATGTGGGTCCATAGGAATTCCCTGGCTGGTCCTCACCTATTGGCAGATCAGGAAGTCAAGAGACTGGACAGGTAAGAACCATAAGCAGGTATCACCTTCAAGGTCTACTCTTACTCCTTAGCAACCTATTTCTTCCCACTAGGCTGACTCCAAAAACTGTGCCTCCTGCTGGAAACCAAATGTTAAAACACATGATGCTGTTGGGGGTGGTTCTCATTTACACCATAACCCGTACTCCTTAGGTGCTGCCTACACATAGTGACTTCCTTACAAAGTGTTCAGTGTGGTGGTATTTGTAATCTAAAAAATAAAGCTTCTTTGAAGATCAGATGACAGCGCCAGCCAGAGTTAAACATAGAGGTCAGGCAATGGTGGCACACACCTTTAAACCTAGCACTCGGGAGGTCCATCTAATCTCTGAGTTCAAGGCCACACTGGGCTACATGAGAATGACCCAGTCTAGGAGAGAAACAGCGCCAGGCACTGGTGGCACACACCTTTAACCCCAATATTTGAAGCACACATACCATTAATCCCAGCACTAAGAAGGTTGAGATAGAAAGTGAAATGGCTGAGCAGAGAAAGGCATATAAGGCGTGAGGAGACAGGAACTAGAGACCCTTTTGGCTGAGGGATCAGAGGCATTCAGTCTGAGGATTTGTGTAGACAGGATCAGCTGAAGAGTTGGTGAGGTGAGAAGTGGCTGTGGCTTCTTTCTTCTGATCTTTCAGCATGTACCCCAATATCTAGCTCTGGGTTTTTATTATAAGACCATTTAGGCCAGGCGGTAGTGGCACATGCCTTTAATCCCAAGGAGGCAGAGTCAGGCATATCTGTGAGTTCAAGGCCAGCCTAGTCTACAGAGTGAGATCCAGGACAGGAACCAAAACTACACAAAGAAACCCTGTCCCGAAGAAACCAAAACCCAAAACACAAAAAACAAAACAAATCAAAAAACGAACAAAAAGGCCATTTAGGATTTGTGCAACAATTCAGTGCCATGCTGGAGATACAGCTCGGTGGAACAGAATTTGCTCAACATGCATGAGGCCTTGGGTTCAGTCCCCATATCACATAAACCAGACAGAAACAAGAACAAAGCAAAAGAAAAGGAAGGCGGGAAAGGGTAACTATGCTGGAGAAACTGACAAGTGTCACCAGCAATGAAGGTGGACATCAAAGTACAGACACTGCTTAGGAAGGGTGAGAGGCTGGGTTCAGCGGTAAGGCACTTACTGTGATGGCTGTTCTTGGTGTCAACTTGGCTAACATCTGGAATGAACTAAAATCCAGAAATGGAGGGCATACCTGTGAGAGAATTTTTGCTTGATTTAAAGTAGGTCAATCTACTTCTAGTCCGAACCTTTAAGGTAAGAAGACACATACCTTTGATCCAGATCTTGAAGCAGAAAGACACATGCCTTTAATTTGGATCTTGAGGTGGGAAGACACACCTTTAATCTGGGCCATACCTGATAGAAGCCTATACAAGAACATGGAAGATGGAAGCTTTTGCTCTTTGCCTGCTTGCTCTCACCTTGATAGCAAGTGCATCCCTTTACAGGCATTAGAGCCTATATCTTCAGGATTCCAGTGTCTACTGAAGACCAACCGAGACATCCAGCCTCTTTGGACTGAACAACTACTGGATTCTTGGACTTTCCACTCATGGCCTGCCATTGTTGCCTGTGATTCTCATAAATGCTTTATATATGAAAAACTCATTCTATAGTTCTGCTACTCTGGAGAACCCTGACTAACAACTTAGCATGCTGAAGGCTCAAGCAAAACTGACCAAGTAATGTTGACGGACATACCCCAGTATATGAGAGCCCTGGGGAGACAACTCAGTCAGTAAAATGCTTATAGTGTAAGCATGAAGACCTGAGTTTGGACCCTCACCACCCACACTGAGCACCTATAATCTTGGTACTGAGGAGACAGAGGCAGGAGGATCCCTGGGGCTCATTGGTCAGTCAGCCTAGCCAATCGGTCAGCTCCAGGTTCAACGAGAGACTCTGTCTCAAAAAATAAAGTGGAGGGTGACTGAGGAAGACGACAGATGTCAACCTTTGTCCTCCACATTCGTACAGACACAACATGATGGGTGAAAACCAGTAATGGGCTGCTTTGATCTTTCTGTTGATAATCCATTATCATAATCTGTGACTACTCCGGCAGGGAAACATCTTCCAAAGTAACTCACTAGCCAGGTACAGTGGTGCATACCTATAATTCCAGCACCCAAGAGTATGGTGACGTCTAAGCCAATCTGGTTTGTTCTAGACAGCAAGATGACTGAGAGCTACAGAGACTCTGTCCCAAAGGACAAACCAAAACAAAATACCTGACCTGTGATTCTTAAAAGTGTCAAGGTCATCACAAACACAGAAAGTGTGGTTCTGCCACAGGCAAGAAGTGGCTAGATAGGACAATTAATTTAAGTATAATGTGGTACTCTCTGTGGAACCCTAGAAGAGTAAAGGGACATTAGTAAAAGATATACTCTAAATAACCAAAAACAAGGCATCAATATTGGCCTATTAATTACAATGAATTATTTTTGAATGTGTATGTATGTGGTATATATAAGTATGTACTCATGTGGGTGTGTGCACATATGTATGCATGCATGGGAAGGACAGAGTGGATGGCAGTTACTCTCTTGCTAATTTTTTAGAACATTTATTTATGTGTGTGCACGCAGATCAAAGGACAACGTAGAAAAGTCAGTTCTCTCCTTTCACCACATAAGTTCCAAGGATTGAACTCAGGTTGTTAGGCTTGGAGGCAAGCTACTAAGTTGTCTGGGTTCTAAATCTAATTTTTTAAGACAGGGTCTCTGAGCTTAGAGCTCATCAATTCAGCTAGGCTAGCTGGCCAATGAGCTCCAGGGATCAGTCGGTCTCCATTCTACCAGTGCTGAGGTTAATAGTTGTGTGATGCAGGGCCCAGCTTTTATGTGAGTGCTAGGGCATCCAAAATCGGGTTCTCAAACCTGTGCAGCAGGCACTTTCCAGACTGAGCCATTTCTCTACCTGCCCCTCCTTTCTATGTCAGTGCTAGGGGTTAATCTTAGGCCTTACACATACGAGGCAACCTCTCCACCTTTGATATCCCTAGCCCTATTTTAAAACAACAACAACAACAAAACCCAAAATCTTGTTGTGTAGCCCTTTCTATCCTAGAACTTGATGTGTAGCCCAAGCTAGTCTTTTTTTTTTTTTTTTTTCTCCAGAAGTTATTTTTAATGTGTACGCTAAATAAATAAGATTTAAACAGAGGATAAGACTATCAGATATTTATCTAAGTAAAATGTACAGAGGTACATTAGCAATTCAAATTCTAAAATCAACCACCTTCATAGGAAAAAAAACCTTGATTAAAAATTTTCCTCTGCCCCAAACAGGAATAAGTACTAGCAGACTTCTGAGGAGTTAGGTCAAGACAACAGACACGAATATAACTCAAGACATAAGATTGGCAGGGCAAACCATTCCCTTAATGTGGTAGATTTGTAATGGACTTGGAGGAATGACCAAAACCAAGCACAACTTCCTATCAGGCAT